AAAAAAAAAAAAAAAAAGTCTTCTGAGAAAAATGCCTTTAAACATTGTCTTGAGCAATGGGCAGGAATTTCCACTGGTGGAAACAGCAAAGGCACAGAGTTAAGCCAGCCATGAGGACCAGAAATTGCATGCTGCTCTAGAGCATGGGAAAGCAATTTTACAGTCAGATGAGATGGCAGCAGCAATTGGGAAGGAGTGGACTATCACTGGGAGCTCAAGATCTGAGGCCAGACTGCCCAAGTTTGAGTTCAGTTTAGGAGTTTACTAATTTTGGTATGATCTTGGGTAAAGTATTTACCTCTCTGTTCCTCGGTGTCCTCAGGAAAAATGGAGCATGGTGGCACCCATCTCATTAAGATTATTGTGAGAATTTAACAAATTGAAGTGCCTAGTGCCATGACTAGTGCAGATTAAGTGTTCAACGAATTCAGCTGTTAAGATTAATGATCTTCATTTGACCACAGACAGCCTGACTACAACAGGCAGAAAGCATGGGCTGGTTTCATGAGAAGAGGGCTGGCATAAGCAGGCAGAGCACTGGCCCCCTGTCCACCAGCTGTCAAGGACAAGGCCACAAGCCTGAACAGAGAGGTGAAATGAAGGGGTTCTGGGGGAAAACAGGCAGATACCAAAGGCTAAATCCAAAAGGGACAGGGCATTCTYCCACTGAGGTGATAATCCCTGGCACATTGGTTCCTGTGCCCCAGGGGCTGTGTTTGACATTGCAAATACCCTCATCAAGATTTACTTTCCACCAGGCTTAGTTCAGCTGTGGAAGACGCTGGGCTAAGATGCAAGGGAGGAAAAATGAAGACAGGATCTTTTAAACAATTGAAGAATCTTTCGAAGCATTTATTTGCATGTGACCTAGTAAAAATTCCACCACTTTAATTTACCGGTTTGTATTGGGATAAAAGCAAGAACTATAATGGCATTATTAAAAATAAGCTTTGTGCTTTTTCCTAGTTGTGAAATAAATAATTGTACTCAAGCAGAAGAACTTGGGAGAATCCCAGTGCAGTCTTGACATTTAACAATCAGCAACAGCATCCCTTGCTTTCATCATTGAATTTTATAGAATATTTATTTGTTGGGGAAAAAGTTGAATTAGCTTGATGACATAGTCTCTGATCTATCAAGGGTATGATTATTTATAATTCGTTAAGKAACTTTTTAATAATCTTATTTTGCAATTAATATTTGACCAAACTTTGCTTTATCTATAATTTCTAAAAATTTGTCATCCGAATGTGGTTAACAGGTTGTCATCAGCCTGGGTGCACTTAGTATTATACTTCCCCCTTGTGGTGAATATAAAAAACTGTAGCCTTACTTTTTTATATCCCTTTCAATTCATTGTTCGTTCCTTGCTTTATATATCTTTGTTAACTGCCTTAAATACCTTCTGGAAAAATGCAAAGTCTAAATAAATAGGTAAAAAAAAAATGAGATTGGCAGTGTTACCAAGGAATTAAATAGAGTTTAGAAAACCCATCTGCCTGTATTCAAATCTCAAGTCTTCTATTTGACCAACTGTGAGAACCTGAAGGAGCTACTGAGATGGAGGCTCTCTCTCCATAGTTAGTTCCTCACCTGTAAAGTGAGGCTACCAATAGTCTACACCTCCTCGTGTTGATATGCAGATTGAATGAGCTAACATATGTAAATCACTAACAGCAGCATCTTGTACCTAAGTGTCATTCAAAATGAGAGCTGTTGCTCTGGCCTAAAACACTGTAGCCTTATAGATAAGCTTTAGATCACTCTTGGGTCCCTATAACAGAAGCTCTYAGGGACCCACAGAATCCTTCCCTGTGGTAACTAGCCCAAGACCACATGTTTTTGGTCAGAATTGTTGGTACAGAGTACGAAAACTGCCCCTGCAACCATCTGGTCTCATTGGACAGTTGAGCAGCTTGAGGCCCAGAGAATGGATGATTCGGTTCTCCTGGTACATTTCCACGCTGTTATAACTGCTTAATCCCCTGAATCCTCATAAATGCAAGTTATTTCCATAAAGAGAAAAGGACTAAGCTATGACCAGCCATAGGTTACCCATCCCCTGATTTCCACGTGCCACTACAGAAATTGCTGTGATACCAAAGCCAATCCACAGGCACAGAAATCTGAGGATCCAAAAGGGACATATCTTTAGAGACAGAAATGCTTTCTGACCCCCAATTTTAAGAATGCCACCATTTTCAAGAGGATGAGTTTAAGAACTAGCCTTGTAGAAGGATGCAGGGCAATGAGGCTGGTAATTCTAGGCAATTAATATTACTCAAGCTAACCGTACTATTTCCAGCATGATGTCATGTCTAATTCAGTGGGCCCTGTAACATGTTTGGAACTTGTGTTCCCTGTAACTATGATACACCACCATGATCCATCTTCAGACCTGCCAATCAACCCTCTCTGATCAAAGTGTAAAGACCCAGAATGCTCAGAGCCATAGAAGATGACTCCAACCAAGGGACAAGAGAGCCCCCTGTGGGATCTGCTGAGGACCTTGTGGCAGTGACAACTGCTTTCACCCAACCCTTCTCCTTCTCCTGCACGGGTGCTATCCAGAGAACACACCCAGAAACTCGCTGCATAGTAATCTCAGTCTGCTCCTCAGAAAACGCAAGCTGCAACACCCCTTTTCTGATATAAAAATCTTGCATTTCACTGTTCTTGACCTCTCTGGGATTTTGTGGAGGGAAGGGAGAGAATTTAAATTTAAAATAAATCCAACTATGTATTTAACTTCTCTGAAGAAAGTACATGCTTAATATCCAGAAGACTTTTTAAAACTCTTCCCCCATTTCTACCATATAAATTACCTTCCACATATATGGCTGTTCCTCACCAAACATAATTTGCAACGGACTGAATGCTTATGTCCCCTGAAGTTTCATATGTTGGAATGGTGTTCACCCCCACACACCCCAGGTGATATTAGGAGGTAGGGCCTTTGGGGTGAATTAGATTATGAGGCTGAAGCCTTCCCAGTTAGGATTAGTTAGCACTCTTATAGATCCCTGAGAGCCAAGTAACCTTCTACCATGTGAGTACCCAGCAGGACACTGTGTATGAACCAGAAAGCAGGCTCTCAGCAGACATTGAGCCTTCTGGCACTTTGATCTTAGACTTCCCAGGTTTTAGAACTGTGAAATAAATTTTTGCCAATTAGCTACCATGTGTATTGTATTGTTATATATAGTAGCCTGAGGCCAGGGCAAGTTTGAGGCCAGCCTCAGCAACTTAGGGAGACCACATCAATTTTTTTTTTAAATGTAAGTACTGGCAATGTAGCTCAGTGGTAGAGCATTTGCCTAGTATGCAGTAGCCCCTGGTTCAATCCTGAGAGAAAAACACATAAAGTAATCACATATGAATTTATGAATACAATTTGGATATTAGGTAACTTATTTACAGATTCGTGATGAAAGCCTGAACTAAATTCCCAACCCTCTGACCTCTATACTGAACACAAGTTACCAGGTACCCAAGCTCAGACCACTAGAGAGGCTTGCTGGGGGTGCAGGGAAGGGGGAGGATTTTAGGGTCCCTGGCACCATTAGTCAAAACTTCTGAACAGAGGGGTATCCAAGGTCAACTTGATTCCAATACATCATTGGTATTAAAATGTGTTTGGKGAAGGCAGGAAATTCATTCTGAAGTAGAACAGAAAACTCAAAATCATCAACAAAACAACTTGAGGTTTATCAGGAAACACTTCACATGGCCAAGGACAGCATCATTCAAGGTTTCTGCTGATTGTTGGGGGAGGGGACATGATTATACTTTTGAACAAAGAAACTAAAAAACAAAATGCAAGCCTACCTTGTGGAACAGAAAGCAGTTATTTCAGGGGAAAGATCCCTGTTATAAGGACAATGACACAAGGCAGGGTGAGGAAACAGGGCAGAAACAATACCAAACTACTGACAGCAGCATAAGATGAGAAAACCACATCATTAGGAACAGCTAGCRGATCTCATACCCTACCATATTGCTGTTTACGTTACAAGTGCTTTGGCCACAAGTAGCAGAAGACCCACGAGGCAGGTTTTTCTAAGATAATCTTTCTAACAAGTCTGGTTAGTCTTGCTAGTGTGGTTAAACAACTCAGAATGTTAGGGTTTGCACCTCAGTGACCCAAAGCCTCTTCCCCACGGACATAAGATGATAACAGCATGACCACAACCAAATGGCAGGTACCAGGAGAATGGAGTTGGAAATGGAAATGGGACCAGGCAACCAACCCTCTGCCACAGCAAGAAAACGGCAGCCTAAACTTTTCAGAAAGTAGAGAGCCTGGCAAAATGGCTGGGTAGCGAGTCCACTGAGATGGTTTCTAACTCCCTGGCTATTGCACAGGCTGATAAGTTTCCATATCCTATCAGCATGTGGGTGAAGAGGGACAAGATCTTATGTCAAATGTGTTTCCTTTTTATTTCCCAAGAAACTACCTACAGATCTCCCTCTGACACATTGTGAGTAGTGAGAAAGCATTCATTTGAATTGCTACAAAACACAATCATGTTCAAAAGACACATTTATTGTACAATCTATTTGCAAAAGAACAATGTATAAATGTAATACAAAGAAACAGATGTCAGGCATACATGTTTACATCACAAGTGCAGGCAAGACTAATTTATTATTTATTATCTCAGGAAGAAGTTTCAAAAAGCTTAACCCTATGATTAAAACTAAGAGTTTCTTAATAAATTATAATTTTATCTTCTTTGAAAATCTCCAAGTTACTGGAAGCCATGTAAGCCAGATCACTACCAATTTTTAAAAGATTCAAAGGCTTTTAAACTGGGAAGTCAGAATTGCTGAGGACAACTGTTGGAACATAGAGTCAGCTTTCAATAATGTTGACATACATGGGAAAAAATCCATACACCTAACTCTCTTCAGTAGTCAGTTAACTGCACAATCTTCCAAAACCGGAGACAGGTATTCTTCCTCAGACCAGGGCCCTAACATGTCCCAGGATACAGGCTTCATTCAACATTACTGGGCAGAGGAGCTGATCCTATGAAAGGCAGCGAAAGACATGCCGCCATATTTCTGCATCTTTCCTTCCAAGTAAAGACAGACTTTTTGTGCCCAATACTTTGTCCAAAGCTTTTGTGCATTATCAGCTCTTCCCTCAGATCACTGTCCTTCTGTCTGTGAAATGTGTTGTTCAAACTGAAATAAAACAAATGTTCAACACAAAAATTATTCAAATGTAGAAAAAGAATGGCAAGAAAAACACCAGATGACCCCAATGTTTAATTCACTCCATGGTAAATAGCGATTTGAGGGTAGGCCACATCAGGCACTATTCTCAGTGCTTAAGACACAGAAGTGTGCAAAGACACTCTCAACCATGAAGAATGTGTTAGCTTTGTGATACTATAATGAAATATCTAAGGCAATTAACTTATAAAGATAAATGGTTTCTCTTGGCTCATGGTTCTGGAGGTCCCAGTCCAGATCAAAAAGCCCCATTGGTTTGGGCCTCTGCAAGGGCAGCATATCATACAGGAGTGTATAGTGGAGCCAAACTGTTCACCTCATGAGCTGGGAAGAAGAAAAAGACATAAAGGGGCCAGAGTCCCACAATTCCCTTTAAAGGCAGGCCCCCAGTGACCCAAGGACTTCCCAGTAGGCTCACAGCACCTCCCAAGAGGACCACCCTATAGACCATGCTTTAATACATGAACCTTTGGGGGACACTGACATATTCAAACCATAGCAGAATGAGATCCCAGTCAACTAAAATTTAAGTCCCTTTCTCGAGCCTGAAACTAGGTGTTATAAAATATACAAAAGGATGTTTTTGWTTCTTCTACTAAAAGGCTCAGAGTTGGTTGGAAAGAAAATACTAAGGGACACTGAACAAACAGCAAACAGTATATGACAACCCAGTAGTACTTTACTGAACACTGCCACTGGGAACACACTGCCAGTGTGTCCCATTTAAATTAATTTCTTAGATAACTGAGACTTTTCAAACATCTAGAATTTTAATATACTAAGCTCTAATCTGTTCTCCTTAGATTATGGGGAGTGAAAGTTCATTTTCCTCATATGTAAAACAAGCAATATTTACATTATTTTTTTCTTTTAGAGTATTCCTATAAGGATCAAACAAGAGTTAAAAAAAAAAAAAATAGCTCTCCCTCAGTATCCATAGAGGATTTGTTCCAGGACCCCCAGGAGTACCAAAATCCAGATGCACAGGTCCCTCATATAAAATGACATATCTTACATAACCTAAACATAACCTAKATAAATTAAATCATCCCTAGATTACTTGTAATGCCAATACAGTATAAACACTCTGTAAATAGTAGTTGTCCTATATTGTTAAAGAAATAATGACAAGAAAAACTTCAATAGGCTTCTATTGATATAGGGTTTTTGTTATTGTTTTCAAAATTTTTCTACATGGCTGGTTGAATCCATGAATGCAAAACCTATAAATGGCCTTTATCTTGCAAATTATAAATTGCTATATAAATGTTTAGTATTTGACACATTTGCATCTTAGTAAACTATATACTTTTCTTCTTAAATAGTCTTACAGTCTGCAGCATGAACTGAAAAAGAACATCATTTTCTGAGTCAATGTGCTCAGCATATGACAACTGGACACACACAGTGGACCTGAAAGCCTGCACACCGTGGACTGTGAGGAGGGCCGTTATGATGAGTGCCCCGTGTGTACTGCAGTTTCCCAGTCTCTGCTGCTGCAGGTCACTCAGCAGTGATACCTGACTTCAAACACTGTGCCTCTTCCACGCTCCTCTCATTTCTAAGGCTTCTTCTATGTACTACTTCAACTAMATTCTGTGATGTAAACACCACCCAAAAAGCATGTGACTTTTTCAGCATCCAGTAAGTGTTGTCATTAAAGATAACTGTAATCCCATTTGCTTTGTTAAAAGTAGAGATAACATTCCATGCAACTAAATAATCCAGTCTTTATATATGACTGCATAAAACATTGGAGTGGTGCCATTTGATATGGTAAGGTTGAATATACTCTCAGCTTCAGACCTCCACTTCATGCTGCAGACTGTAACATTAAATTAGCCCTATGTAGGATAATCAATTATAAACTTAGGCACATATCTTTTCCAAACCAAGTGTTTTATTTTGTAAGCTAAAGAATAAATAAGCAATGCCAACAATTTATAGTCCATCCTGCATAATTACTTCAAGAGAACTTAAATATGAAGCTACATCACGAACAGCATACTTGAGAAAAACTTAGACATTAAAATTTTATACTGTTATAGCTCACCTTTGAAACTTCTGGACTAGAAAATGGAGAAGACTCCCAAGATCTATTAAATGGAGAAGAATCCCAAGATCTATTTTCTTTGTCAAAGGAGTCATCTTCTTGGGATGCAAATTTCTGCTTAAGTGCATGTGATATTAAGGACACGGGATCCCAATGTGAACTTCGTCTTTTCTTCTTATGAATGGGTCTACCACCAGGTGACCTGTTTTTAAAAATGGAGTAAATTAAAACTTTAATATTTGGAACTTGGAGGGCATAGTGAACAAGAAAAACAAGAAACCATGAGGGCTAGGGTTCTACCACAACTTGCTGTAAACTGGGATTCCTGAAATATCACTGTGCTGAAAACCTTTATTTTTAATTTTCTAATTTACCGATAAGTAGGAAAATTTAAATAAATATTTAAGACCTTTTAAAAGGACCAGAGTTCATAAGAAGAAAACCATTAGGCTRACTGTTCATCTGTCTGATCATTCATATATGATCTTCCCTGAATGCCTACTGTTTCTTCATGCTACTTAGATTAGCACACAACTTAAACTTTATTATTTCTGCAATTTTCCATTTAATATTTTCAGACCACAATTACCATGGGTAACTGAAACCATAAATAAATGACTTGGTTAACTGGAAAACACAACAGCGGATAAGAGGAAGACTAAGTGGAGAAGGAAAGAGACGGGTAGGGATAGGAAGGGTGGGAAGAGAAGGGAAGGAAAGGGAGGGGAGGAGAGGTCAGGAGAGGGGAGAACAGGGGAAGGGAAGGAGAAAGGAAAAAAAGAAAGAAAGAAGAAATAGTCAAAAAAGAATAAAGGGGCTGAGGCTGTAGCTCAGTGGTAAAGTGCTTGCCTTGCATGTGTGAGGCACTGGGTTCAATCCTCAGCGTCACATAAAAATCAGTAAAGATACTGTGTGTTTATCTATAACTAAATAAATATTTTTTAAAAAAGAATTAAAAATGAGTATCTCTGGGAGGAGCATTCAGGGTGATGAGGAATAAGAAGAAAGACATCTGTCAACTTTCATAAACAATTTTTTTAAAAACATCATTGACAGGGGCTGGGGATGTGGCTCAAGCGGTAGCGCACTCGCCTGGCATGCGTGCGGCCTGGGTTCGATCCTCAGCACCACATACAAACAAAGATGTTGTATCCACCAAAAACTAAAGAATAAATTTTTTTTTTAAATTCTCTCTCTCTCTCTCACTTTACTCTCTCTTTAAAAAACAAACAAACAAACAAACAACAAAAAAAATCATTGACAAAAGTCTAGTTCTTTTCCCAAATTATGACAACATACCGTTCAATAGCACGGAGCTTGACCTTATTCATATCCTTTAGAACATCCAACATGTTTGGAACTTCTTTATTTCTCTGGCTTTTTGAATGATGACTATAATTGGTCTTAGCACYGGGGTGCTGCTTTTTCATTTCAGCTATTGGATTATCTGAGTCACAAACATTAGTAGATCCTGGTTGTATGGGAGGAAAACTTGAAAGCTGAGGAGAAGAAAAATGAGGAGGAAGCGGTGGTGGTGAAGGAGGAGAAAGCATTGCACTTGGAAACTGATCTGGTTCTACACTCAGTTCAGCGGTTGCCCGTGATGGCATTCTTCCCACACCAGGGGGCTCATCATTCAAGTCAAAGGAGCCTAAAAGCAAAGTAGTCTGTTGAAAAAACATTCAAAATTCTAACATATAAGAGTAATGAGAACCAAAACAAAACAATTCTGTAATGATGCTAAAACAGTGATATGATAGCCCAGAAGAATTAATCCCGTCTCTTTAGTAGCTTCTATAAAGTCAAGCCAATTCAAGTGAATTCACTTGTAATTTAACTAGAAATTCTCCATGTAGGCAGGCCCTAAAGAATGTATTTTCAAGAGAAAGTGTTTTTCCATAATTCATACACAATTTGAACTTCATTCTGACATTTGAGAAATAAACATTATTTTTTAGGTACAGATTATTTAACTTTTTCACAACAGATTTGCTTCTAAAGAACTGTGAGTGAACACGAATTACTTGACAAAAAAGTTGTGTATTTATTTATTTTATGAGTTTATATAACTATTATATACTRTGTGCTTTATTTATGTATAAATTATTATAAACACATGCTATACATATCTTGATACTGTATAAATTATGCTTATATACTATATATGCATATACATTATACAATTTTTTAGCAGCTTTATTTATATATAGCCCTTTATGACCAAATCTGTTGTGGAAAGTTCTTAGTGCCTATGTTGCTTTAAATTTTGTGTTTAAAGCAAGTTATATCTCTAAAAATTTAGAAAAGTATCATCTGAAAAATATTGTTCACCTGAACTTGGTGGAAGTGTAGTAACATTAAGTAAAAACTATAATGAGGCCACAAGCCTGTTTGCCTCTTTCAAACCAATGGATTCTTTCTTTTAATTTCCAATGTTCTGAAAGCTAGGAAATTAAAAGAAATTGCACTTGGAAATTGCACTTCTTAAAAGGGAAGAATTTTTTAATAAAAAAAAAAAATGCGATCTTCAGTAGCAATAGCTAGATCTTTATACCAAAGTCACTCCCTCMATTTTGTATCTTGTGATTTATTCTGAATAAACATCAGATATAATAAATCTATATACTCAAATTTTGTTATCATACATTTAATACTGTTCACAGTTCTTATTAAGAATTGTACTAACTCAATACCAATAATTATCATCTAGCTGAAACAAAAGTCCAACATATTACTCACCAGACTTTTTTCTATTTCTTAGTTCCTGCATTTCCACAATTGCTGCAATCTGAGAGCGAAGAAAAGTAAGCTCATCTTCAAGGGCAGCTATTTTTTTAATTGTAGCTTCATTTAYAGGCAGATCATTTTTCACTGGTTTGTTCGGTCTTTGAGCTGATAACAGTGGATCCAAAATTGGTTGTAAAGGATGGGAAAATTCATTTTTTTCCTTTTCTTCATTTTTCCATGTACTATTTTTGTGGGTAGAAGGAAAAAGCAAAGGATGGAAGGGAGATTTTCAATCTAAAGAAAATAAAATCTCTCATGAAAGCAAGACAATAAAGCAGGGCTGGGGATATAGCTCCRTGTTAGAGCCCTTGCCTAGGATGCACAAAGGCCCTGGGTTTAATCCCCAGCACTGAAAAGAAAAGACAACACCACAAAATCAGAGCAACTCTTTCCCCTTTGATGGTCTCTAGACTCACTAAGGACAAGCACAACATCTTTGTAAGTATTGTATTCTCAATATGAAAAACAGAATACAGCCTCTAATAGATGGCCAACATGTAACTGGGAATGAAAGTTAACCTTTCTTTTAGATTGTATAATAAAAATAATTATCTTGTAATTGCTTAACCTATTAACTTTAAACACAGTGTAAGTTAATTTTCCTAGAAATTCTGCAGAGGAGCTGAAGGGCCTTCCATTCAGGATTATGTTAGAGGTAAGGGAACTAGTTTATGGTCTTCAAAATTTTTGAAAATTGACAAGCCAGTTTGACACATAATAAATTCAGCCAGAATCTTTTAATAACTGACACTCATTGTACTTATAGCCTGTATCTGAATATTCTAATACATAAGTTAGTTCTCCCTAACATTCAATTTTAAAATACAGTCCTCTCTCAGTGTGTGTGGGTAACTGGTTCCAGGACACATGTAGATATTAAAATCAAGAATGCTAGGGCTGGGGATGTGGCTCAAGCGGTAGCGCGCTCGCCTGGCATGCGTGCGGCCCGGGTTGGATCCTCAGCACCACATACCAACAAAGATGTTGTGTCTGCCGAGAACTAAAAAATAAATATTAAAAATTCTCTCTCTCTCACTCTCTCTCCTCTCTCACTCTCTCTTTAAAAAAAAAAAAAAAAAGAATGCTCAAGTACCTTATATAAAGAAGTACAATATTTGCACTTAACCTATGTATATCCTCCTGCATACTTTAAATCTTCTCTAGATTACTTAAAGTACCTAATACAACACCTATACATCACTTCATTCTTGTGGACATGGCATAGTATTTGAAGCACAGCAAATTCAAAATTATGCTGGGGATGTGGTTTAGTGGTAAAGCGTCCCTGGATTCAAGCCCTGGTCTTCAAACTTTTTGAAAATTAACAAGCCAGTTTGACACATAATAAATTCTGCCAGAATCTTTTAGTAACTGACACTCATTATACTTATAGCCTGTATCTGAATATACTAATACATAAGTTAGTTCTCCCTAAGAGAAAAATAAAAACTATAAAAAAAGAAAAACTATTGAGAGAGAGAGAGAGAGAGAGAGAGAGAGAGAGAGAGAGAGAGAGAAACCACCCACATAAGGAGGGATTAGTAAAACACAGCACAGGACAGAGCCAGACAGAACAAAAAAGTTCAATCAACTTGAGCAAACTTTTAACACATGCAAGAATTCAGGTTATAGATTATGTCATACTTCCAAAATAAGCATATAAATTACCGAAATCTGAGATAACTGGCTTCTTCATCATTTGCCACACACAAAACATCAGCAAAAGATGGAACCATAGATCCACAATTATCAGATTCTACAGAGTTCAAGYGCGGGATCAACTAAAGCAAAAAAATAAAAAAGTCAGAGCTTTGCAGGGAGTCAGAGAAGGGACATGTCCCATATCCCATGGCATTAAATAAATTAACAACCCCAAAGAGAGAAAAGGAACAAAGTTCTTCAGTAGAAGCACATGCACCTGTTAGCAAGAAAAAATACCGGGGTCAATGCTATTCTGTAGCCTAAGCATGCAACTGTATTCTCTCCCCTAGTCACTCTTATCTATCATACAATGTAAAATAAAATAAGCTCTGGAGTCTTTCTTGCAACTGCCAGTTTTCTTTCTTCTTCTTYTTTTTTAATCTAATTACTTAAAAGAAACAGTAATCACAAAAGCAAATGCAAAATGACTTATATCCAGAGGTAAATTAAAGGTTCCTGGCTTACAGAAAACATTTCCTTTTGTTGTTCTACCCTAAATACTTAGAAGTACCTACAATTATTTTATACACTGTACTTAACTCATGGTAACTGACTTACCTCAAAAGCAGGTCTTCTACAAGGTTCTAAAGGAAGCATTTTCCCAATAATACGAACAATACTCCGAGTTGATCCATAGTCTTTATTTTCCCAAGTCAGCAAAACCTATTTAAACATGAATTACTACACTAATTAAAATGTACATATCTAAAATATATATATATATATATACACACACTCTCAAAGTATCTTCTTCATGAGACTGGGTGTGTTATTTTAGTGGTAGAGAGCTTGCCAAGCAAGCACAAGGCCTTGAATTTGATCCCCAGCATGGGGRTAAGTGTCTTCTTCAAAGAATTAAACTTTTCTAATATTTGTCAGTAGGGCAAGGTGAGGAGAATGAGCTGGGTGTGGTGGCACACACCTGCAACTCCAGCTACTTGGGAGGCTGAGCAGGAGGATCACAAGTTCAAGACCAGCCTCAACAATTAGTAAAACCATGTTATAAAATTGAAAATTTTTTAAAAAGGCTAGGGACGAACCTCAGTCATAGAGCATTTGCCTAGCATGCATGAGACCCTAGCTACAACCACCAGTACCGATTTAAAAAAAAAAAAGAAAGATGAAAGCAAGCACATATAAACTTCTTGACATGTTGTACTATGTCACCCAAAGTTATCTCAAATCTCTGAAATCCCCTGTATGACCACTTCTGTTCCTTGCATATGACCTTGCCTCTGCTCTGAGTAAGCCAGATTTCAACATGATATCTCAACTTGATTTCCCTTGTGAAGTTATACAAGCTGCATCCATATTAAAGATTCTGCAGACTAACATTTATTGTGGAGACAGGGAATGAGGCATGATATCTTGGGCTATCTTTAGTCCCTTTTAATAGCCATTTCCTGTCAACCTCTGTATCTGACCTAATACCCTAACTTCTAGATAAAACTCTGAGAATGTATCACTAAGCTTGACACAGCTCTAGCCTCCATTAACCCTAAAGCTGAGAATGTGATAACATCTAAATCCCATGGAAGAGATCTGCCCACCTTGGCGTAGCCCACCTAAGTGTTGACTTACAGCATTCTTTTGTTCTGTAACTATAAAAGCTCATGCAACCTCTTCCATGGTGTAACATCATTTCAGGTAATCTGAATTCAGATACTCACATTTGGCTCAAAATAAACTTTTTTCTTATTTCCTTTAAAGCAGGATTGTTATTTTACATTAACACTCTCCATTCAAAATCTCTCTCCACCATCTCTCACTTTTATTCTATTCCTTAAGTTCAGACTGTTTCTCTTCTTCCTGAGGCTTATGTATTCAGATTCCCTGTCCAATTACCTTCTCCAAGACATTGTTCAATCACCCTCTCTCATTTGTACTTAGTGCAAATATGCTAAAAGTTGCCTCTAAYTTTGAAAAGAAAATTCTAATCCTGCTGCCCCTTCAAATTGATGAAATCTCTCAATTTCTTCTCACAAGCAAACTATTCAAAAGAAGGCTGTTGAAGACACTTCTACATATTCTTCAAACTACTCCACCCAATTAAATCCTATCTCCTTCTACAAAAATTCTTAAAGGCACCAATAACCCAATAATGATAAGTAAATCTTCAACTGCTATCCAATCCTCCCTGTCTTCAGTCTGTCATTGAGATTTCAATGTTTCAAAAACATCTAATGACATCCTCCATTATATCATCAAAATCCATGGCTTCAGATATCAAAACAATGCAGCTAACTCCCAAATCCAAATCTCTCTTTTTTCCTAGCTTCTAGAACCAACTAAACAATTGTCTATGGGATATTTCTGTTTATATATTCCAACAACACCTYTAGCTCACCTTATCTCAAACCACTTTCTCATATCCTCCTACTAAGTTGTCTACTTATAATAATGGCACCATCATTCTTCATTTTACTTTTGTTTAAAATCTTAGCATTATCCTTACTACTCTTCTAATTCACTCCACCAAATAGCAATGATGTGCCCATTTCGTATGCCACTATGCTATGTGGTCTTTCTTATAGTCAATCTCATATTATAGTTAYATTTGTTTCTTATTGCCCATATTTTAAACATAATGAATACAAGAACCATGTATTGCCTCTAAATGATCTGCAGAACCAAGAACACTTTTCAATGTTGATGTTCAACAAGTAGACAAAATTGGACTTGCTTATAATTCCCAAGCCTAAGTCATCCTCTCACCCTCAGATTTATTCTGAATTGCTGAGCTTCAATTTTGCCATTGTACACCCAAACATCAAACTGCTCACAAATTACTTTATCTATGCAATAAATATAATTCTGTAAAGGTCATGTCTTTATTGTGCCTTCATCTTCTTTTGACATTTGACCCRGGAAGTAAAAAGGTTCTCAATAATCTTATCCACCCTTTTCTAATTCAAACTATCARAACTATACTGTACTAACTCACCTGTGTTCCACCTAAAGAGAAATAACAATTTTGCCTTAAATGTTTACATACAAATTATTTTAAAAATAAGACAGAATAACAAAGACAGCAGAATCATTCAAATGTATTAAGACATTACCTGGTCTATGGGAACACCAAAATATGCCAGCATCTCTCTTAAGATATTCAGTATGAGAGACATTGAAGAAAATTCAAGGAAACATTATCAGTTTCCCCTGGTACCTTTGGGAAAAATTGTAGAAAGTATTACTCTTGACAAATAATTGCCACATAAACTACATTAAACAGCTTAGAAGGGACCTTTCATTACACCACCAACTAATTTCTCCTGGCCAGCATCATTCTTGCAATGCTGGGGACTGAATCCAGGGGCTCTACTACTGAGCTACATTCCCAGCCTTTTTGGTTTTTTTAATTTTTGCTGTTTTGAGACAGGGTCTGCTAAGTTGCCCATGCTGGTCTCAAACTTGTGATCTTCCTGCTTCAGCCTCCCAAGTTCTGGCCAGCATCATGGAGAGAAAGAAATATTGTTAGAGGTGGGGGAAGTATAAACAAAACTTTTATTTAATCTTCTAAGTTACACTCAAATTTTATAAGATGCCTGATTATATAAAAGAGACGTAGCAGGGAAAGGTTTTAAGTCAGTTTGCGATAGGGAAGCTCAGTGAAAGGTTTTAAGTCAGTTTGCGATAGGGAAGCTCAGTCCATCCTTAATGCTCTCTGCAGTGGCTCAGAAGAGGGATGAGTTAGGTGACCTTGAAAGAGGGCAGGGACCTCTAATAATAATAATAATAGAAGAAGACTGGTATCTCTTCTCACAAATTTAGCTGAGTATCCCACCCCTCTGCGCTCATTTTAAATATCCGAATGAACGCGCGGTAGGTGACGCCGCTTAATCCCTCCACTCCTAAGTAACAGGCTGTGTGTGACCAGGGCCCGTTAGTGTCGCTGCCTCAGGGACTCTTCCAACCCAGCAAGGTAGCCTTGCTCACCTTCCTCAGAAACTGAGCTTCCGACGACGAAAATACCAAGCGGAGGGCGTTAAGGAAGATGGTTTCCGAATCTTCAAGCAAGGAATTCCAGAACGCGCCGCCCCTGGACCAGAAGTGCCCAGACCCGGATCCCGCGTGGCCCGCGCACCACCAGTTGCAGACGCCAGGCAGAAAGAGGCTACGAGCAAAGGGCCTGAACCGACCGGGGTCGGTCCCGGACCTCCGCGATCAGCCGGGACAACTCCGCAGGAGGCGCACCCAGACCTCTAGCGCCCAGGAAGCCAGTGGCGCCTACTTAGGTCTGGCTCGCCACTTCCGCGTCCGTGAACGAAAATCAAATACAGCGGGCCGTGACCTATCCCCGATCCCATTGGACAAGGATGAAGATCGCTTGCTTCTGATTGGCAGGTACATGACGTCAAGCTTGCGACAATTCATTCAGGCCRCCAATAGAAAGCCGGCGGGCGGGCAGGTCGCGCCCGGAGAGTGACGCACGCGCAGAATGTACGTACTTTTCTGTTTCCCGGGCGATCTCAAATATTGTGTGGTTGAGCCAGTGCTACCCAGCTACGACCAGCCACTGAGAAGGACCCGCCGTCCGGACTTTGTGCCTCACCCAGTTCTTCGCTGGGAATGTGTCACCCTCTACACCTGAGTCCGCCTGCCACAGAAGGTCGCGGCTTATTTGTTGGTCGTTCAGCCAACCAATATCTGTTGAGRCAGTGTGATCTAAGCACTGTTCTCAGTGTTGGCAGCTTTGTGGTATTTAAGATTCCTTGGTTTACGAAAGACTCCTTATTCCAGACTATCAAGGTGACCTTGAAAGAGGGCAGGGACCTGTCTCGTCTCACTTGGGCGGTCCCTCTCCTGGTCTAGCCAGTGGATCTTCATGAGGCACAGACTGTCCTCGTGTTTCAGCAGAAATTGTGTTGGAGGGAAGTGACAATTTTAGATAACTACACCTGCTGCTTGCTGATCTACAGAACAAAAAAATAGGGTAACTTTCCTGATGGACGTCATTTATTCACTCAGTAGTGGATGTACAGTAAGTGCCAGGCACTATTCTAATCTCGGAAGATTCGATACTGAGCCGRGGAGGTCTTTRCCCTCCTGGAGTTTACATTCTAGTGTACAAATCAGAGACTTTCTCCTGGAGTTTACATTCTAGTGTACAAATCAGAGACTTTGTCCGGGCACCATATATAAAATAAGGTGTCTAGTACATAGTGGGCATTCAATCCATGTGTTGATTAAAATAGATATGGAATGAGAAGACAATGACTTCAGGCTAGCAAATGGCAGAACTAAGGAAGGCACATGCCCAGTAGTCTGGAAAAGGATGAAAGTCGGGACAAGATGGGGTGCAGTGAGTGGCGCAGGCCTATAATCCCAGCGACTCCGAAGGCTGAGGCAGGAGGGTGACAAATTGAGGCCAGCCTTGGCAACTTAGCAAGACTCTGTCACAAAAAATAAATTTTTAAAAAGGGGTAGCAGATATGTTGAAGTACCCCTGGGTTCAATCGTAAGAAGGAGGTGGGTAAGGAGGGTGACAAGACAATGTGAAAGGAAAATGGATCAGAAACCCTAGATGAAATGAGCAGACCCCAATTCTCTCAAGTTCCTTCCTTGTCYTCTTTGTGCCCTCATACGTAAATCATGACTATTAAAACCTCCTCCTTTTCCAGTCCCTTAYCCAAGAGGGCATGAAATAGGGCAAGAATGAAAATATTCCGGAGAACATGAAAACGGAATCATTTATTCTGCTAGCTTCACTAATAGTTCAACATTCCAGGACTGATTTAGTAACACCCAAGTCAAATGCATACGTAAATGTTCCCAATTCTTCAGAGATACTCACTCCATTTTAGGTTTACTAATACATTCATTACATCTTGACCTTTTGAGAGTCAACTTTTCTTTTTATTGATCATCATTTTGTGTTTGTGTGTTGCTGGAAATTGAACCCAGAGCCTTGTGATGCAATAGAGCTACATCTCCAGCCCCTTATTTATGATCTTTACATTGTTTTCCTGAACTTTTAGAATGAGGCCTGGTACAGAAAAACTTCAGAGAGCTCTTTTCTATTTTTCTTGTTTGAGTCATATTCAAATAGTTTGTTGACATTTTCCTGGCTTTGTTCACCTACCCAGCTTGATCCTCTATTTTCTTTATCCTGATAAATTGATAGCATTTTAAGTATTTTCTCTGCAGCATGGAGTCCAGTCTCTAAAAAACCTGGCCCGTCAGTTTTGAGAGTTTCCTGGGTGAACTACTCTGGCCTTTCCAAGTCCTTACTATGGATGGGTGCCTTGCATTCACTGAAAGGATTAAATCCCAAATTTCAGCTGCTTCTCAGTAAATGGCTGTTGGCTAACTTGGGATTCTGGTGTTCTCATGTCTTTTTTTTTTTTTAAAAGATAGAGTGAGAGAGGAGAGAGAGAATTTTTAATATTTATTTTTTAGTTCTCGGCAGACACAACATCTTTGTTGGTATGTGGTTGTGAGGATCGAACCCGGGCCGCACGCATGTCAGGCGAGCGCGCTACSGCTTGAGCCACATCCCCAGCCCCAGGTGTTCTCATGTCTGTCAAATACTACCCTAATTCTTCCCCATACTTTGACAGATACCAACACCAGACAGGTTTTTGATCTGTCTCCAACTGCTGTTGTGTGGAGATTCATGGAAATATCTCATCACCTAACTTTACTGCAAATACTGGTTTTGTTTTCATGCTACCAACAGTTTTTCCAGAAACAYTGATTACATCTTCTTGTAAACAAATCATTGTTATACTGAATCCCCAAGACCAGAAATGTTTTATTCATCCATAGTTTTTCAATGAACTAATGGAAAGGTTAAGGACTAATTTGGACAAAAACTTAGAAATGTGTACTCAGCAAAATGCAGTATAAAAAYATCTGTAATCTCAGCTACTCAGGCAAGAGGATTCCAAGTTTTGAGACTAGACTGGGCAACTTGGTAAGAACCCAGTCAAAGAACAAAGGAGAGAGAAGGAATGGATGGATGTATACTCAAATCTTGCCAATTGCTATGTGGAAAGCTCATGTAATCCAAGCCTAAATTTGGGGTAGTAAGGTAAACCAGAATTACTATGCTGTAATTACCTTAATAGGGCAGGAATATAATATTCTACCAAAGTCTGCAGTAGTCTCTCCAACTTTAGCCACAAGTCTCATAAAAGGATGAACCAAATTGGGGCACACATGACCAGAGAGCTTTTGTGTAAGTTTTACATTTCAAAAAGAAAAATACATGCCTTTTCCCTTCTGCCCTGCCTACACTGAGGCCCAAAGATAGTAGTGATGCAGTCTACTAGAGCTATTTAAAAGATTACACACCTCAAGATAGGCTCTCTTCATTTATTCAAAYTTTTTAAATTTTGAGAGTAGTCAAAACCAAGATTCTCCTTGATACTAAAATAACTCAATTTATCCTGAAAAAATCCTTTTACACTGATGCCAAAACAAAGTAATGGAAATCAGACATATTACCTATTAAACTACTACATATCTAGAAATTCTTGATGTATTAAATTTACAAAATTTAAGTTATATATTTAAATTCTAAAGACTTTTCTTTGAATCCTTTATTGATTTRTATAAAAGAAAAGTCTAGGTTATACTTCGTGTTTGGATTCAAAGGCCTTCATAGTCTTTACTACTCATTCTATTTTTGAACAAGAATTCTGTGCTGTAGCTAATCCCCTCAAGATTTTTCCAGTTCCATTATTTTTAGAAGATTCATGACTTATCAATTCTGTACTCTGCTTTCTGATACATTTGTATGTTCACAAGTAGTGCTGCCTTGACTCTATTTAGTGAAAGCTAACCAAAACCTAAAACAGAAAACAGGATCTCCTTCCAATTTCATTTTGCTTTTGGGTCCCCCAGACCATTCCTAATKTTATATGTACATATCACTGTTTCTAATGTATACATTTAATCCTTATCACTCTTAAGTGATAATCAACCCAATTATTTTTCAATATTGTCATGGTACAAGAAGCACAAATTTAAAGTCTCTTTAAAATTCCAAATAACTTTTTATTATCTAGCAGCTTACGTCCAATTGTCACCTGGTATGCCATAAGGGTTGACATAAAGCCTTCAGAATCTTAAAAGCACTCTTATTGCTACACTTTTCTATGTTGTATGATAGGAATTAACAAAGTAGAAAAAAAAT